TTTTGGCGACTGCTGTGTTGATTTTTGTGTGGACAAGTCATTCAGCAGGATGAACCTTAACTTTGGGGGCGGAGGGTTTTGATCCTGGGGCGGGGTTTCCCTTCGTTTTTGTTTCTTTTTGAGTTTACTACAGTACAAGTACACCTTGGAAACTTTGGTTTTGAGAGCATTCGTAACGATGTACAGAATCAGGGAGGGTGTTCGTGAGGTGGATTATGCCATCCTTACGAAGGCTACTGTGGCGATACTCATGCGTGGTTTTGAGCTACATGCAAGTGCGCAAGTAGTGGCTGTTCACCGATCTTGGATCTTCGGGGTATCTCCGATCATATCTTTGACAAGTTGTCACGTGTTCCGCTGTCGCGTGTTCCGAGTTCCGAATGCGTCTTTTCTGCGGGGAATTTCTTGCGGCTGTTGCACGAGTGCCTCGGTGTTTGTGATGCACCCTGTGCTCACTCTCTTCCGTGGGTTGTGTCTACAAGGACAACCAATAAAACGTCTTAACCATCTCTTCACGTTTGTCAACCGGGTCAGCCGTGCTCATCCAGCAGCACTAGTCTTGGGGCCAATCAACAGTACGACACCGGTGTCGTATATAATACTGATAGTTTAGGCTTCTCCTTCACCAGCTTCTTTATTGTTGCCTCCTCGCCGACCCAGGTGATGATGCGCCTGCGATCCACCCCGAGAACTTTCGCCGCTCCGGAATTTCCCACTGGTTAACCATCCTCGCAAAGGATTCGCGTGAATGCGGCTGCTTTCAGTTTGAATCTCATGGGGTAGCTCCCTTTCTTGCCTCCGGTCCTCTCGTTGACGAAGTCAGGCTCGGGGTATTTGCGCTTTTTTGTGGTGTGATGGTGTGGGGTCGTTTGCCGCAAGCATCTCGTCGATGGCCTCTCCTGCTGGCAACGGGTCCGCAGGGGCAGCTACCGCGTCCGCAGAGGAAGGACCGCCACCACTACTAGCCCCTGAGATCGCGGCACCGCCCGTCCCTGATACCTCCGACACGATTGCCAAGCGATTGTGGGTCGCGTGTACTGCTGTTGTAGGCACAACTCGACGGCGGGCAATTACCCATGTTTTTCGCCCGCGACATTTTGTATTTCGCCGCGTTTTATTTCGCCGCTTTTTGGTACGTGTTTTTATTATTCGCATCGACCGCGTTAACCGGCTGACCAATTCAAAGACGTCAGTGCCAGCGGGTAAAAATCAAGGACCCTGGAAGGGGGCCGAAATTCGAAAAATGCGCAATGCGCTTGATGCGAATGCCAATACGACTCTCTCTCCATGTTCATTCACGTAGACACACATCTCAGCTACACAAATGCCCTCGCTCGAATCTAGGAAGCCACTGATGCAAAGAGCGGGGGACAGCAAAAGGGTCAGACTATTTCAAGCCCAGCCGAAGGCAGGATATCGTGGTATGTTGCATCTCCCAATTCGATAATCGTGCACTCCCAACTGTCAGCAGCTAGGTGACTCAAACAAAGTAGCAACACATAGTCTACACTGCCATAGCTCCACACCATGTGTGTGTTTTTATTATTAGCATCGACCGCGTTTACCGGCTGACCAATTAAAAGACGTCAGTGCCAGCGGGTTAAATAAAATCAAGGTCCCTGGAAGGGGGCCAAAACAGAAAAATGCGCAATGCGCTTGATGCGAATGCCAATACGACTCTCGCTACATGTTCTTTCACGAAGACACACATCTCAGCTACACAAATGCCCTCGCTCGAATCTAGGAAGCCACTGATGCAAAGAGCGGAGGACAGCAAAAGGGTTATTTCAAGCCCAGCCGAAGCCAGGATATCGTGGTATGCTGCATCTCCCAATTTGATAATCGTACACTCCCAAGATCCAACAGTCATCGTGTCAGCAGCTAGATGACTCAAACAAAACACATACACTGCCATAGCTCCATACATGCCCTCGCCCGAACCTAGCAAGCCACTGACGCAAAGAGCGGAGGGCAGCAAAGGGGTTATTGTGTGTGTTTTTATTATTAGCATCGACCGCGCAAACCGGCTGACCAATGAAAAGACGTCAGTCTCTGTATGCATGTTGTGTTCTTTCTCCAAAACCTAGCATCCATCGGGCTAGCTACTGTGGTTGGCTGACGTGCGCGCGTGTGTGCTTTTATTATTAGCATCGACCGCGCTAACCGGCTCACCAATGAAAAGACGTCAGTCTTAGTGCGGTTGAAAACACAAAACACTTCTATCTACCATGAACTGGGACCCCGTGAGGGGGCAGCATGGGGGAGGCTAAACTATCCTTCGGATTAAAAACAGAAACAGCAGCAACAGAAGAAAAATGCACGCGTCTACCAAGGCTATTACCTAGTACTCGAGTTCGTTTAGGAGTACTTTCACCAGTGTCCTCCTTGTTTTCGCTACCATCATTCTGATCCTCATTTCGACAAGAAGAATCTCTGGGCAGTTCTTCCCTAGCCCTACGTTTCTTGTTGTGGGGAAGGTCATCTGGCTCAAACCCTTTGCTCTCTTCCACTCCTCCATGTTTTTCTGCTCCATCGTCGTCATCCTCCTTTCTCCCCTTTCCCTTTCCTTCGTCTTCGTCACTCCCAAAAGAATTACCCTCATTACTATCGTTGTCGCAGAGATCCCAACCGATTGGCCCTGGTGGAAGTTGGTCGATCAGTAGCCCATGACGTTTGAACACATCGCGAGTTCGCATCGACAGAAAACGAGCTAGCTCGAAGGTAAACCGTCTCCGAATCCTGTTAGTATGAAAAGCTTTCAGGCGAACTAAGGCCCTCTCGTCGTCAAAATTTTCCCGGCAAAAAGCTTCGTGCGCCAAGTGGTTGGCGATAGCAACGATGAGTCGATTGGTGCCTTTGCCAAGACCACCATTCGTTGAAAAAGCAGCAGTAAGGAGGGTAGATCTAGACGGGTTGAAAGTTCCCGCATAGTGATTTGCCTTACTTGCAGCTCGATCTTCGAGGGCGGATCCTGGCGTTTGGAGTGACTTGTCGATACTTCGCCTAGCAGATGGATTGACGACTGTGACATCTATAAGGATGGATTTGGTGCAGAGTTCCTCTTCTTTATCTCCTGCGTGTAATCCTGGGGGGATCACTAAATCCATCTTGTAGAGCCCTCTTCCCCTACCAGTGCCTGTAGTAAATGGGGAAGAGTCTTCAACAGCGATTGGCATGTGGCATTCGCGTAATGTCTTTAACAGCACGCGAACCATCCTATTGTGCAGGAAGGTTGAGGCGCCGGTCTTCGCGCAGACCAGGGAATGGGGTCGGCTCAACCGTTCCATACACGGTGACAATGCACCTGCGCTGCAAAGTCTGCCTGTATCGTAGTCAGTTCGGTCGTGACTCCCCAGTACACGACCGATCGATTCTCGATAAAGGTCAGGTAGCATCCGTTCATCCATCGAAAGCCCCTGCGTTGTCAGCCATGATAGAACCCCCTTGTCTTTTGCTTCCTCCAAGCGAATCAAGGCTCTCTTCTTTGAGGTTTCCTGGGATCCTGCTTTTTTCAAGCCTGTTACTACCATATGGCGGACTGCTGCATGAAGGGGCTTCGACAGGACGGCTTGAGCTCCGAAGACTTGATAGTACCGGCCAAATTCATTTCGCCCGCATGTCGACGGAGATGGTGGTTCCTCGTCAGGGTTGTCGTCTCCATTTTGTCTCTCGGCTACTACCTTCCCGGCCTCCATGAGATAAACCCCTCGAAGAGTGGGAGTTAAATCGTCAGATGTAACAAGTTTAGTCCATGACTGACCAACAGCTCTTTCGAGCTTGTCTTTGGTGATGATCTCTTTTAGTTTCTTGAGGGAGTCAATCAGAGCTAATCCTGTTGGTAGCTGTGCAAGTTGCGGTAGGCATTGTTCAATGGTGAGTCCTGTTGATGCCTGCACTGACTTGGAGAACACTAATGCTTGCCCTGCCACAAAAGCCGATTCTCGAATGAGAACACTGCTCGTAATTCCAAGCCCCCCTTCACGTATGGGCAGGTGCACCTGTGCCCGAGCTGAATCTTTGAAGAAGTCGACCTCACTCTTCTCTGGGTTTGCGCGTACCTCTTCCACGGTTGGAATTCCCACAGTGTTTGCCATTTTGCCGAGAACGATCTTGCTTACTGCCCATATCATCAGGTTGTCATGTTCTCTTGCGGCAGTGTTGGTAATGCTCGGTGCAATCGTTCTCAGCAGATGAAACAAGCGTGGAACGCCAGACAAACGTAGCAGTTGGTAGCTCGCTTGCGGGTCGTCAAGTGTGGAAAGGCGGCGTATCAACTCAGCAGGGTTACCGCGGGCGAAGTTGGTGACGAAACTCCTCTGGAAGCACTCTGTCCCTACTGGGACTCCAACAATGGCCATACCACCTTCAGCAACCGAGAGACCCGTTTTCGTCAAATCTCGCTGTTCGTCGTTTGTCAAAGAGGAGAAGAATAATCCTTCTGGGAAAAGGACTTTCGATTTCGGGAGGCTGAGCTCAATGCCTTTTTGCAGCAGGTGGTCTTGGATCCAGTTGGTTACGGTGGCGATGGCCTGAATATTTCTAGCCAAACCTGGTGGAAGATGCACTTGGAGGTCGTCGACGTATCCAATGAGCTTGGCTCCTGGCACTGGTGGCTTGTTGTTGAACTCTTTCATGATATCAAGAAGTCCTACACAGAAGCCAAACCCTCCCAAATTGCAGCCTTGTTGAACTCCGCGCTGTGAAAGAACAACCTCGATCGAACCATCTTCCATTTTGAACAGAAGTTTCGCCTTGGTTCGAGCGTAGATGTTCCCGAAGTACTTCACCAAGTGTGGCGTATGAGTGGCCACTGCTGGCAAGATGGAAGATCTGCGCATGCTGTTGTAAGCGTTTTTCCCATCAAAGGAGAGAATGGTGCTGCCTTGCTGGTGGCTGAGGGCTGCTGTGGAAGCCACTATCTCAACTCCTCCTGGAACACCACCTCCGAACTGATTTGCTGCTTCGAAGATGTTCGCAATTCCTCCCTTGTACTGGCGGCAGAAGCTGCCGCTGATGATGCGACGCAAAACCCCTCCAACTGCAATCGGCCGTTTTTTCTCTCCCAGCGCTGAAAGGTTGGCACTGGTGTGGAGGTTCCAAAAGAAATCCGGAAGCTCGTCTCCGTAGTAGAAGACTTTAAAGCTGAAGTCCGCCAAGGTTTCAGTAAAAAAATCACTCATCCCACCAGCTTGGAGATACGAAAAACGAAGACCATCAGGCCCCGGAGCACTCTGAGGGTTGGCTTTCTTTACCGTCTGCTTGATGAACTTGATTTCGAATGGTTCATCAGCTTCGGCGACGGAGTCGATCTTGTGCGTTTTTATACGATCTCCCGCAACTTTGATGCTGGAATCCCACGCAGTAGCAATATCGTCAGGATCTTCGTTAGGGTGTAGGTTGCGAAGATGCTCCAGCGTGTCGTTGTTGCGCGGTGAAGGTGCTGGGGAGATTAAGGCACTGGCAGCTTTAGTGATGCCTCCGCTTTCGTGCGCAAGTCTTGTGGCTCTTCTTTGGCGATTGTCTTCAGTATCCGCATAATACTGAAGTCGACGATTCTTCTCGTACATCATGAGCCAGGCGATAGGTTCACTCAGATCACCATTTGCAAAGCGGTTAAATCGGGATACCCTGTTCATCCTTCCATCAGTCGATCCATGCAATGCTGGGGTAAGATGAAGCAACTTTGTTGCTCGGACAAGTTGGAGTTGTCTTTCAACACGTGCTACTTCATATCTTTCCGCTGCAAGAGGAGACAGATCTGAGGTATCTGACTTCTGCTGATCTATGTGTACAGCTCCAAATGCTTGCACGAAGAGGATGACGACATGTTGGAAGTGTTTGCAAAATACTTTCGCCAGTTGCGGATCGATGTGTTTGACTGTCGAAAAAATTGACGTTTCAAGAGTATCTTGTCGAACCTGATCCAGGGCACTGCTGACTGACGTCGTCGAGGTCCCACGGTATGTGTGTACGTTGCGTGTGGAGTCTGCAACCGCAGCACAGCTGGGATGTCCATGCGTCTGCTTTCGTTCAAGTACCGCACATACTGGCGTTATCGCACAGGGGTGTGTGCGTTGAAATTCTTGATAATATCGCCTCCAGGGTTTAGTCAGGACCGCACATACCGGAGTTATCGCACAGGGGTGTGCGTTGAATTCTTGATAATATCGCCTCCAGGGTTTACTCAGGACCGCACATCCTGGAGTCATCGCACAGGGGTGTGCGTTGAATTCTTGATAATATCGCCTCCAGGGTTTACTCAGGACCGCACATCCTGGAGTCATCGCACAGGGGTGTGCGTTGAATTCTTGATAATATCGCCTCCAGGGTTTACTCAGGACCGCACATCCTGGAGTCATCGCACAGGGGTGTGCGTTGAATTCTTGATAATATCGCCTCCAGGGTTTACTCAGGACCGCACATCCTGGAGTCATCGCACAGGGGTGTGCGTTATTTTTATTTTGTTGTTTTGTTTTTCTCCCATCATTGGACTCTGTCGTCTGCCCCTCTGGCCCCTATCCTCCACTTCTACTAGCTAGATAGACGACCCAACCGGGGTCACATAGGAGAGGGGGGTTGGACCCCCTCCTGCGGTTCCTGCCTAAGATATTTTTATCGCGAGAAGAGCTACATCAATCCTTTTTCTCGCGACTCATGAAGTCGATCAAGTTTACTAACAAAGAGCTGTTCGTGTGTGTGCATATATACTTCCTCTGTATCATAAGTTAGGGTACCTAAATTTGTACGGGCCCTTAACCGTGTCCGATCTGTTTTTCGATTTTTTTGTTGAAATCTTCGGAGTTTTTTTAGCAAGAAACATTTATTTTATTTTATATGCATGCGCCACCCCGCGTGCATGAGCGCCCGAGAAAAACCAGTCGGCCTGAAAAAGGCCGCATTTTGCATGTATTCTGCCCCCTCCGACCAGGCGGGGGGGGCGGGGCAATGACAAAAACAAGGCAAAAATACCAAGAATTATCCCTGACCCTAAACCTAGCCCCCCCTCTACTCAACGATCCATGACGCGTCCCCCATACTAAAAACAGCATAATAGTGGCCCCCACACTGAAAACAAGACACTTGGGGGGACCACACTAAAACCAAGACACTTACGGGGCAAAGCAAGCAACAGTAGGGCCCTCATCCAACCCCCCCCTCTACTCAACGATCCATGTCGCGCCCCCTATACTAAAATCAGTATAGTAGTGAACCACACTAAAACCAAGACACTTGGGGGTCACACACTAAAACCAAGACACTTGGGGGGTCACACTAAAATCAAGACACTTGCGGGACAAAAAGAAGGGTTGGTTGGTGGCGGGGAAAAAAAAGAAAAAGTCGACTATTCTTCCTCATCATCACTTGGACTCGATGCCGCCGCAATCTTTGAAGGGGTGAGAAGCGACGGCCGCCCACTTTGCTTCGTTTGAAAGGTCCAGCTCCTGGGTGTTGTCGATCTGGGTTTTGACCCGTTTCCACAACTTGGACGGGTACTTCTTTCCAACACCGTAGCGTTCGCAGATCGGGTCAAGCACGCCCTTGGGAATCCTTGACAACCCCGGCTGAATGCCCATCGCAATTTCTACCGCCATGGCATAGCGCCTACCAACCGATAATTCGGTGCCCCTTTTGCGAGGTGGTGTGCTGGGGGGCGATTCCATCGCTAGAGTAGGGTAGTAAAATGGATTTGAGAATTTTGTCGAGAATTCTCAAAAAATATCCCAAAATATTTTCTCAAAAATATTCCCAAAACAGGCCAAAATAGGGTACATTTTGACCAATAGTAGGTACAGAAATAGATGTTCGTTTTTTTTAATTTTTTTTCTATCGCTTCTTCTTTGTTATATCTTTCTTACAAACCCGACTATGCTACCATCACTAACACGGTTGCACCCAGACGATCTATTGCATTTAGGTACCCTAACTTATGATACAGAGGAAGCATGTAGGAAGGATCTGAGGAACGGTTCTGTGTTCCGTACATGAAGGGACCCGCTGTGGTACCTGTTGTAGTAGACTTGGATGAGTCTGCGATGCCCCCATGCTGAGTCAGCCTGTGTGGGGCACTCTCTTTCTCCTCTGTCTGCCGTGCGTTTGTCCTGCGGATCTAATACAAGCAATCAACGAGACTTTCTAGTCACTGGACACAAATACGGGCATACCCGGCAATCACTCCGGTGGTCAACACTCTAGAGTTTCTTTCTATCTCCATCGTCCTTGCAAGGAAACGAAAGAGCCCGTGCCAGCAACATGTCGTGAGGAGTCTCGCAGGAGAAGCTCGCTGCTAAACTTGGAGAAGTGGAGAGCACGCTGACGGCGCGCCTTGAAGAACAGCAGGCCAAGGCAGAGGGGAGGATAGAGCAGCTGCTCAGTCGCTTCGAGAGCCTTCTACCCAAGCAGCCCACGCGAGACGGAGGAGGGGGAGGGTCACACGGCGCCGTGGTGGACGGGGGCGCCGTGGGGGGTTGGAATCCCAGGGGGAACCGGGAGGGCTTCCGCCGCAGGGAACCTACCCGAGACTGTGGGCCCTGGCGGTCGGGACAGCGGCGGCGTCAGCGGTGGAGTAGCGGGCGGCACGGAGCAGCGACCGACCATGGGTAGGGATGATTTTTTAAGTGGCGCCTCTGATTGGCCCAAACCACCGCATTTGAACGAAGCTGGTTGGGAGTTTGAAGACGGATTTTAAAAGCGGCACTTGGGATTAGTACAGGAGGAGTTGTAATGACGCGGGAGCGCCGGCGGGACAGGCGCGCGCAGCGCTGCACGCGGCAGGACTCTGCGCTTTGTCTGCGCAAAGAGAAAGGACACAGCTCTCTCACCGCAGCACACACACGTACAACCCACAGCACACGCACAGCACCACAGAGGATGTACCATGGGTCGCAGGAAAGGATCAACGCCTGCGGCTGGGGCAAAAAAGCCCGGGACGAAATCAAACGCAGAGAAAAAGAGCGACGAGGAGAAGCGATCACGGCAGGCAGCAGCTTTCCGTACGGTCATGGGGTGGGCAGACACAACAACACGGAAGCGTAAGCGAGTCAGTTGCGAAGGTGCTACGAACGAAGGCAACATGGGAAACGACGAGGAAAGTACACCGACGACCATATCTGACGTCGGAAGAGGCAGTACGAGCCAGGCAGTACATGTCGTTGGTGGGGCATCAATAACTCCGCAACCGCTTCAACCCAGTCGCCGTCTTCCAAGGGGAAAGGCAAGGGGAAAGCTCGTAGAGAACGTCCTGTAGGAGCAGCGGCATCAGAGGTGGTTGCAGCAACAGAGGGGCCGGAAGCAGGAGGGACAGTAGAACCATCTGCAACAGTAGCAGCAGGAATGCCCCAAGCACCAACAGCAACATCACCAGCAGCGGCAACAGCAACACAAGCGGCAACAACAGGAGTGACGTCACCAAGCCCACCACCATCTACCACACCTGTTCCTCAACCACCGGCACCGCTACTAGCGGCTGGGGCGGCGGCGTTACAAGGGGAACAAAGACGAGGACGAGGCGGCACTGCAAGTTCTAGTCCCTGTGCTGAACCTCGACCAACAGCTGCGGCAGGAGGCACGGCAGGTGCCGTTACAGGAGGGACGATAGCTCAAGCTGCGGCTGTGGCGGCGGCGGCCGTCGGAACAGCAAGCATAGGTCAAGGCAGTGGCAGAGCTAGACGGGAAACACAAGGAGGTGGGAGTGCAGGGGGGGGCGGAGGAAGGGGTAGTGGACGACGAGCACCGATGGGGGTACGAGAGGCTAGGAGAGGGGCAGCGGCACGGGCAGATGGAGCGGCGGGAACGTCCGCTCCCCCTCCCGTGGGCGGGGGTGGTGTTGAGGATAGCCAACGGTTGTCTCCTGCAATGCGGGATCATTTCCGTACCGTCAAGAAGAACATCGACGCCAACATCATCCATCACAGCGGCGGCGTGGCGGCACCTAGGGGAGGCAGTGGAAAGTTCCCCTACAGCAGCCCCCTCATTCTCCCGAAGTGTGCTACGATGCAGAACACCTCAGGTATGCACCCGACGTCCGGGTTTCCTTTGCTGCTTTGAACAGCAGTTTTGTACTCCTGGCGATTGACCGCTTTCCGTCCATAAGCTACGCGAACTCGATTTTTGTTTCTCATACCTCCGTGACCGCTGTCCACTACGTGTTTGCGCAGGATTGCCGAAACTTTCTCCGTTCCTTCTGAAGCCACTGTTCGCGTGGATACCCGAGTATTTGTTCCCGGAGCTAGCGCTGGCGTCGGGGCACAAGTTCTACCGTTGTGTCCGCGGCAAGAACAGCGCCGAGGTAGGTGACACCTTTTGTTAGTGTAGGCTTTACTTGCAAGGGTGTTTTTTGTGCCGGGTTCTTCTGCGACCCCCCAGGGTGTAAGTCTTGGCAAGTAAACATGTGGATACGTCTGCCTCCAGATATTTTCTGAATTTTCAGGTCAATGTATGCGAAAGAGAAAAAACAGTGAGCTCTCCGCGCAAGGCCCGATGTCTCTTTTCCCCTGTTAATTTGCGTTGTTGCTTGTTCCAGGGCTACCATCGGTATCTCCGCACACTATTCGCCAATTTCTGCGCATCTCCGTGGGTGTGCCACTCGGTGTTGATGGAGTTCAACTATCGGTGGAACATCAGCAGGGCTGTTGACAACCGTGGGATGGTCGCAGAGATCGGGGGGTTCAGCCACCAATATTTGATTGATCAAATCCAGCGCGTCACCGCATCGTGGTACCCGGGACAACCGCTTTACCCGGAGTGGCTCGCGCCGGTGGACTTCGAGGACAGCGGCGAAAGGGCGGGTTTCGGTAGCTTTCGTCTTCGCTGAGGCAACAAGCGTCGCCCGAAATGTTCACGCAGTCTGTCGGCGTGGGACGGATGCCTGCTCCCGACCGCAGGCTGGGAGGATCACTTACGTCGACGGCGGTGGCAGCGGCGGGGGCGGCGGCGACGGCAGCGGCGGCGGCGGCGGCCACGGCCACGGCGGCCGCTTTCGCGACGGGGACGGGGGGGGCGGCGGAAGCAGGGACAGGGACAGCCGGTGAGGGCGGCCCGGCGGGAACGGGGGCGGCGGGGGCGTCAACACCAGGTGGCCACGGCATGCAACGGGGCGAGGGTGGGAGTAGTGCAAACACCAATCAGGGCAGCAGAGGCAGGGCGCCTGGCTCTTCCTTTAGGGCGTGCACGACTTGTGGGCATCATAAGGGAGCATGGCTTATGCATCACCCGGGACCTCGCTCGAAACAGACAGCATGCTCCATGCCCGAGGACCAACGACGCGCACAGAGCGAAATGAAGTACATTAAAGCACGGAAGAACAAGGTGTTCCCGCCCTGCCTTTGCAATGTCTGCCGTGGCTCATACACTGAAAGCTGAATTTTACTTGTATACAAGGATCGGGCGGGGACGCCTTTTTGGCGTCCCCGCCCTCACAAACATGTGTGGAAGAGGATAAGGTTGACGTTGAAAGAAGAAAGTAATGACTCCTACCAAGAGGTTGCAGAGGTAAGTTGCCCGTGCGAAGGAATAGGGCGAAGGAATAGGGAGGTTGAATGTGTTATTCCTCGCGAATGTTGTGAGGTGAATCACACTGCTGTAGAGAGTGACGGATGATGACAAAAAACTTTCGTGTTATTATTTGAATTGAATTCCAATGAACATGTAAGGGCAGATCGCACGATCCTTGGTTCCCGTTTGAAAACACAGCAACAGCAGCGCTGACGGTAAAAAAACGACACTCCCAATAGGAGGATCGTAGTTATTAAATCTGGCGCAACTCCCGCAGCAACAAATCCACAACCGACAGAAAGAGGACTTACAATTGAGGTAGTCATGAAAAACACCCACAAGGTTACTTACGACGACAGCCAAGCTGCGGTTACTTTTCGCAGGAAAAGTACGCTACTTACAAAAACACCACGGCCAAGCATACGCGGCAACCGGAGCGGTGGCCCTAATTAGCGATACTCCCCGTAGAAGGATCGCATTTCCAAAAACTGGCGCAACCTTACAGCCGAAAAGATACAACCGACGTATA